CACACACACGCACGCACGCACACACACACATACACACACACACACACACACACACACACACACACACACACACATACATGCTCAGACAGTAAACGCGACTGTTGGTGTGGAGAATTAAAAGTGCATATCGACGAGAAGTCGACATCAAAAACGTGGTTGCATTTTTAGAGCAAACTCGTCACCTTCATAAAAACAGAACATGTTTGTTTTGTTTGGTTTCTTCGATCTTTGAAATAAAGCATGCTTGCTTTTTTAGTGTTGTATAATATTGCATGTTTCTTTACATGATGCCTTTTACTAATTTTCCTAATTAATGATCATCCTCAGAAATGTCATCGATGCTAAATCCTATGACAGTCTGAACCACATTCTTAACCAACTTCGGGTTAAAATCTGTGAAGAATGTAAGTGCATTCATGTATCCTTGGTTTAAATGTTGAAACATTACTGACAGAGGAAAAAGATCATAAGTAGGCTATAAGTTAAAGCTCTCTTTATCCCCACAATACTCAAACATTATGGCGTCGGTAGTCTTGTGGTTATTCTTCCGGACTCAATATCGTGAGATTACGGGGTTCGGTGGTTCGAGGGTCGGCTCAGTCTCACGTTATGTTCACGGGGAAGGCACTTTACACGAATGTTTTTGTTTCATTTGGCTCAGTACTGTCGGAAATGGACGTCTAATTTAGAATTCCCACCTCTTATGTCTCTTACAAACAGTGTTCCAAATTACATAAAATAAATCTTTACAATTTCAATCCACCATACTCCTCGGCGAAAAAAGGAGCGTTCTGTGAATCGTTTCGTTTGGTATTTTTAAATCGAGGGGCTCGTTAACCTCCATGCAACCCTTTATAGGCATGAGTAGCAAGAAAAGGCTCAGGAAAGAGGGTTAGAGCTCGAGAAAGTTATGTGTCAGCAATTAGATTCCATGAAAAAAACATCGCCTTGTTTTTCTTGTGGTGCATTTATCCTTGAGGACAATAGTTTCAGCAGCAGCCTATCTTAAGTTTTGTTTGCATGTCATTCTTATCATTAAAGATTCTGAAACGCCAATATAAGTATTTGTAATGGTACAAGCAGGAGTTCCTAATTGAAAAAAAAAACCACACACACATTGTGTAGAAAGCATATCTTTGTGTCACAGAGATACACCAGGTACAGTTCTATTAGAATGAATTCTAATCAAGTGACCTTATGATGTATACACAGTTAAGTAGTTTTGTTTCACCTGAGTCTTTAGGAATGAATGATGACAAAATAGTACCATAAGGAGACTTTCTTTGAACTATCAAAGTCGGTTGTTGTTGTTGTTGGGTGTGGTTTTGTTTTTGTGTTTGTTTGTTTGTTGCTATTTTTGTTTTATGTTGTTATTTTTTTGGCGAGGGGGGTTATTTTGTTGTTGCTGTTGTTGGTGGTGCCGTTGTTGTTGTTGTTTTGTGGGAGATGGTGGTCATGATGGAAAGGGGGGTGGGGGGTGGGGTGCGATTCTGTCACATTATCTTAAGCAACACCCAGTGAGTTGTTCTTGGCTCAAAGTGCAAAATAGAAAACAGCTGATTGTGCTAGTGATTTCCACTTTTAAGAACGCACAGAGTTAATTGGTTGTTTTTTATTTCGTCCTCAGCTGATCCTGAACCATGTAAGTAGACCACATTCCTTCCTGAAATTTTGTTTATTACAAAGATTGCTTTGTTTATACCGGTGTGTAGGCCTATATATTTGAAATATGGTAGTTGTCGTTCTTTAAGTTTTCTGTCGTTTTTATCTGTGTAGTGGTGTATATTTTGTTAGCAAATCAATACAGCTGGCCACCCAAGTCTTTTTTTGGGGACTGTTCGATAACAACTTAACTTTTAATGAAGATCCGTAATTTGTCCATTTTTTATCTCATTTTTTCAGGGTTTTTCTTTTAAAAACTCTGATATGCATTTCGCTGAAAATAGAATAGGTATATAGATAAGCATAGGTGTGTTTTGCAAAATCCTGTCATTCGAATTTGGAATAGGCCTATGTGGCATGCAGCCAAACCTCGCGTGCTTCTTGTATTATAAAAAAAAGAATGTGTTATTACTCTAATATAGGCTTACATGTAGTATTATTTATACATATATATATATTATTATTTTTATTTTTAAAACATTTTCTTAGAAATTAAAAAAATTAATGAATAAACCTCATTCCAGCTTGCCGCCACACGCCCACCGACCTCATGTTTGTCATCGACTCCTCTGTGAGTGTCGGAGAAGACGATTTTGAACTGGGCTTGAAGTTCATCACAAATTTCCTCCAGAACTTCGAGGTCAACCCAAGCACAATCCGAGTTGCTGCAATCATGTTCGGCAAACGGGTTTACGATGAACACGTGATTAATTTTGAGTAAGTAATTCAACTTTCTCTCCATCTTTAGTACGTATGCTAGAAGGGAAATTGACTACTTTTCTTTGTTCATTGTGGTTTATTTTGTTCTAGTGTTGCTTCTGAATGATGCTGTTGTTTTTTGTTGTTGTTTTTTTTGGTTGTGGTGGTAGTGGTGGTGGTGTTCATAGTGTTATTGTTGTTGCTTCTAGTACACCGCCTATCACATCAATGTGTATCATTGGCGTTGTTATTAAGTTGATAATAATGATAGTTGTCATAGCTTTGACCATCTGGAGCTTCTCACTGTTGTGGCTGTTAATCATTACAATGTAGTTTGTGCTAAAGCATGTGCTATAAGTGAGTGAGAGAGAGAGAGAGAGAGAGAGAGAGAGAGAGAGAGAGAGAGAGAGAGAAAGGGAGATACAGAGAGAGGGGGCTAGACAGAGAGAGAGAGGGGGGAGAGCAGGGGAGAGGGAGATAGAGAGAGAGAGGAGAGAGAAGAGAGAGCGGGGGGGAGTGAATGGAATGTGAGGGAGGGGGATAAAGAGAGGGAGAGAGA